TTGCTTTTTATGATCGAGGGTATATTCTAAACAAACTCTAGATTCGTGAGAGTTCAGGATCATTAAAGCGGACAGAGTAGACACAGGCTTGAGTAAGACACGAAACAGTATCTAAAATGGGTATAACAGCATTTTCCAAACTTGGTCGTGGTGTGAGACAGACGAACATGGTGTAAGAACTTACTTCGTTATGCTTCCTCTGCCATGAATGTCATGAGTTTTCCAGCATCAAGACTTTGTAATAGTACCCGATTAATGGCTTGATGGAGGAAGAAATCATGAGAACTATGAGAGGTGTTCACCCTATTTCGTTTAAGGTGATGAAGGATTTATAGTTGAATTGTCTCACGATGCCTTAAGTTTCCAAGAGGTATTCTTATCCAGAGTAGACTGCAGTTTCGATCTCGCCTAGGTATCATCACCACCCACAGAGGGACTTAAATCATGACAGTGCAGCGTACACTCCCGACAGTTTAAACACTACGCCACATATGTCGGGATTATTCGCTGAAGTCCTAGTTCAAGTCCAGCTAGGGGAGGTGATGAGACCTAGGCGAGGTCGAAACTGATGTCCAGCTTGGATAAGAATACCTTTTTGGAAGCAAGGCTATGTGAAACTCAATGGAAATGTAAGGTTTGCTCATATCGTTATGGGAAATAAGACTACCAGTCCTTCATCTCCTTAAACGAAATAGGATAAACACGTATCATATATTTGATTGAGTGATAGTTTTGAAAGCCTACTTGCAAGCGAAAAAAGGAAACTACGGTAGAGGACATAGAGGGGCAACGTTCCTTAAAGCCTCCCTGACATTAGGATCAAGTTACGTAAGTCAGGTCGGACCAATTATATGCTGTAAAAGGAGATTGCGGACAAAGATGAAGGACCTACATTATTGATTATCATACCTATGATTATTCTGAATCTAGGCCTTTACACAATTAAAATATTACTTGAGGCTCACTTAAATTAAAAAGAATGCAAGCGTCCGGTTTCTTAGAACCTGAAAGGGCAGCACAAATAGATCGATTAGTGAAAGAATATGAGAACAGATCAGAGAAATGAACATGTTATCGAGTATAAAGTATTATCTGAGATGGAAATATTTAGAAAAAATCAATAAATGTGCCAGGATTGGATATGCTACAAGAAAAGTGTTATATTCTTTGCTTTCTTAACAAAGAGTCTATGATAAACGTGTTAAGGAAGGGCGACATAAGCACAATAATATATGTCTGGGGTTATACGGTTAAATGGATTGCCAGGGCTGAAGAATAAACAAACTGGAAAAGATCTATTTTTGAAGGAGCGTTTCCAGGGGCCTAGCAATGGATGTAGTGTTAAAATAATAATTGGAAAGTACATTATGCCCCACTTAATTAACTTTAATCGGTCGATCTACTTTTAATGACACTTCCAGTTAATGGAGCAATAGCCATCAAAAGGAATATGCTCAAGACAGGTCTAGAAAATAGATGCTTTGGTCATGCCTCCGCTCTGAATTTGATGTATTATAGTTCATGAAATTTTCGCATAATTCTAACTTTTTCCCCTGTGTTGTAAATATTTACATTTTTGTTTGTGTCGAACTACAAGGAAAGTATATAACAAGTTAGGGTTGGTCGATGCGTCTCCTGATTTATCATTGCCAAATTTAATTTCATGTGATGGTACGAAAAGGATGAAATCTCAGGCCGAACTCGCTGGGAGAAGACAGCGGATTTAACTCAGTTTGATTTCTAACTTTCGTGGAACCTCGTAGTCTTGGTTCTCAAGACATCCTCCTTCAGTATTGGTGAAAGCGTGGTAAACTTTATTCAGCTTTTTTTTGACAGACGTCTTCAGACGTGAAACATTTTAATGGCAAATTTAAGCTTTCTTGACTTGTGAGCATGAAGTTGGAATGAGGTCCGGCCCTAATGATGTATGTTATATAATAGACTGCAGCTCAGTACGCCTCCATCGGAGTTGAGCGAGGGTGTCTGGGGACCTGTACCAATATCAACGTCTCAGGAAAGCCTATAGGCGGATGAAAGGTAATCCATCGTCTTCAGATAAGATTGACTAACAAATCCCTTCAATATACCCTTTCACACATATTGAAAGTCATCTTAGCATTAATAAAAAGCTATAGAGAAGCGAAGATGGTAGAGGTAGATTTCAGGTAATGTTAATTTATTTTTTGCTTTATAAGCAGGCTTTCGAGACTACATTTCACATAATAGTAGTTTATCTTCCCAAAATCGATAGAAGAAAAGGCTTTTTTATATCAAATAATTCTGTAGTGACGTGTATCCTCGATGGGGGTGGGGCTAATTAGACCAGGGCGAGTTTTAAATTGTAGCCCGGCTTATATAGGAACTCAGTTTTGTGATGAGAAAAAGAAATTTTTAGGCAAAATAAAGCCTCTTCAGTTCCTCGTTAGCTGATCAATCATATCTCCCTTTAACGTCAATAGACTGGTGGCGCCTATTAAACTTTCCACACGTGTTGATCCAAAATACACCATGCATCATTTAGCATACGGTCTTCCTGCTTTTATCTGTTTATTACCCTTGATGTTCTCGTTATTGGTGTTACAATAAAATTCCTTCTGGCCATCTTATAATGTGGTTAATGAAATCGATTTTTTCAGATGTTCTGATGACGCGACACGCTTGGACACTCGCCACCGAATTGAGCCTTCCGTATTCCTTGAGAGCACTCCTTGTCAGGCCATTAAACACTCCACTCATCTGCAAACACCTCTTGTTAACATAAATTACCAACGCATCTATACTGACCTATTCCATTCCCGTATGTCTGAGACTGATGTGCATTCATTGAGTGAAGACCAATCCAACATCCTGTCTAAAACGATGTCTTCATCAGATGAAGATAAACCAAAGAGTGAAATCAGACGACTTGCAGATAAAAGAAAACAAACGAGAGAGAATAGAAAAGATAAGAGGGCTGAGGAAAATGAAGTGGGAAGACTGAGAGCGGAAGAAGAGAAAAAGGAAGAAGGAGAAATGCATGAGGAGATGATGGATCTGCCAGAGGCAATCACGCCTAGTGCCCTCAGCAGTGAAGCCTCCACAAATTTGGACGCTACCAGCGATCAAGCCATCCAACAACCGTTAGAATTAATCTCCTTTAATAGCGATCACTTAATACCAATTGCTGACTACTCTGAAGTTGATGGAATTGGTGCCCCTCTGCCCAGCTTGACTGCGCAAGGAGACGAAGAGTCATTCTCACGACTTCCCTTCTCTCCTGATTTATTGCTGAACTATCCAAGTACAGGGCCCGAGTCTAGATTTTATGCGATCGAGGAAATGACAGCTGATGCAATCTCAGTGAACACAGCAGCCACACTGGCGTCGAATTTTTGGGCTGAAACTGGTTCGTATCTGAGCCGGCTACTGCACCATTGGCTCACTCGGCCATTCCATTTGGTTGGCGGTTTATTCACCATCTTCAGCAGTTATCTGACTAATAGGACTCTACATTTC